CTAATTTAGTTACTATTATTATTACTACTAATTTAGTTACTATTATTAGTAGTAGTATTATTACTAATTTAGTTACTTTTATTATGACTAATTTAGTTATTATTATTATTATTATTATTATTATACCGCTTTGTATTAGTCGTTAGGTGTGTCTACTCATTTTCGATAATTTCCTTTCATATTATAACTTTTTTCATGTCATTACTGAAAGGCAAGAGAAAATCGCCGTGTTTATATAGATTTGTTTTATTAACAAGTAATTTATTACAAAAATGTATAAACACAGCGATTTTCTCTTGTTTTTCAATAGCGACAGTTTCGTAAGAAGTAATGGGATTTTTAATTTATTAATCCGACATATTTTATTGCTCAAAGGTTATTGTTGGTGGATACAGGAGGAAATTTATGATATCCAGGACGGTAAATGAAAAAAAAAAATAATGAAATGTGAGTATCTACTATAAATAACGGTTAAGTGATAAAAATCCATTACTTCTTTAGAAATTGTTTGGTTTACGTTAAAATGCGAAACTGAGCATTCTAGAAAGAATCTGTGAAGATATTTGCGCTTATCGTACACTTTTCAGCTTTTCCCGATCGGCGATACCCTTCCAAGCCGAGCTGGTCTAAACCACGTCAAAGGCACACACACAGAAGCACACACACACATACACAGAAGCATACACACACACACACATATATATATATATATATATATATATATATATATATATATATATATTTGTGTATTTAGGCAGCAATCCTTCTTTCATGCACATTTCCTTGAATACGACATACAATGTGCTTTTATTTAGTTTTTTATACAATTTCTCATGCGATCTAATAATTTTTTTCTTTTCGGATGATCAATTATATAAAAAATGTTCTTTTTATCCGAGCGCTTTCGGCTATACATTTAGCCATTTTCAAGGATTAAATATTTTAACTGTTAAGCAAGAAATAGTTTCTTGTATGTATGTTTTATTAAATGTTTTCATTTTTCAAAACACGGTCAAGATATTATGTCCATGTTCAAAGTTAATATTGTTAAGTGTTGTTTTTTTTCGTTTTTATTAATAAGGCTTCCATTATATTATTTAATCCTTGAAGATGGCTAAATGTACAGCCGAAACCGCTCGGATAAAAAAGAACATTCCGACAGTTTTTATATATTTTATCATCCGTAAAGAAAAAAAATATTAGACCGCATGATAAATTGTATAAAAAAATAAATAAAAGCACCTTGTCTGTCGTATTCAATGAAATGTGCACGCACACACACACACACACACACACACACACACATATATATATATATATATATATATATATATATATACAGTGTATCACAAAAGTGAGTACACCCCTCACATTTCTTCAAATATTTAAGTATATCTCTTCATGGGACAACACTGACAAAATGACACTTTGACAATGAAAAGTAGCCTGTCTGCAGCATATATAACAGAGTTAATTTATTTTTCCTCAAAATAACTCAAAATATAGCCATTAAAAGCTAAATCCCTGGCAACAAAAGTGAGTACATCCCTTAGGAAAAGTTGTCAATATTAACATACAACTTGTCAACTGTCAATATTTTGTGTGGCCACCATCATTATCCAAAACTGCCTTTACTCTCCTGGGCATGGAGTTTACCAGAGCTTCACAGGTAGTCACTGGAATGCTCTTCCACTCCTCAATGACGACGTCGCGGAGCTGGGGGATATTTGAGACTCTGCGCACCTCCACCTTCTGCTTGAGGATGGCCCAAAGATGTTCTATGGGGTTCAAGTCTGGAGACATGCTTGGCCAGTCCATCACCTTTACCCTCAGCCTCTTCAGTAAAGCAGTGGTTGTCTTGGATGTGTGTTTGGGGTCATTGTCATGCTGGAACACTGCTCTGCGTCCCAGTTTCTGGAGGGAGGGGATCATGCTCTGCTGCAGTATTTCACAGTACATGTTGGAGTTCATGTTTCCCTCCATGAAATGTAACTCTCCAATACCTGCAGCACTCATGCAGCCCCAGACCATGACATTCCTACCACCATGCTTGACTGTAGGCATGACACACTTATCTTTGTACTCCTCACCTGGTCGCCGCCACACATGCTTAAGGCCATCAGAACTAAACAAATTAAATTTCGTCTCATCAGACCATAGGACATGGTTCCAGTAATCTATGGGCTTTGTTGACATGTCTTCAGCAAACTGTTTGCGGGCTTTCTTGTGTATTGCCTTCAGAACAGGCTTCCTCCTGGGGTGACAGCCATGCACACCAATTTGATGTAGTGTGCGGCGTATGCTCTGAACACTAACAGGCTGAATTCCAATCTCTTTAATCTCTGCAGCAATGCTAACAGCACTCCTACACCGATCTTTCAAAGAAAGCATTTGGATGTGATGCTCAGCACGTGCGCTCAGCTTCTTTGGACGACCTAACGGAGGCCTGTTCTGAGTGGACCCCGTTCTTTTAAAATGCTGGATGATCTTAGCCACTGTGCTGCAGCTCAGTTTCAGGGTGTTGGCAATCTTCTTGTAGCCTTGACCATCTTTATGTAGTGCAACAATACGTTTTTTAAGATCCTCAGAGAGTTCTTTGCCATGTGGTGCCATGTTGGAACTTTCAGTGACCGGTAAAAGTGAGTGTTAGAGCAGCACTACAAATTTGAATACACCTGCTCCTCATGAACACATGGGCATAGTTACACTAATGAGTCACATGGCATTTTGGAGGGAAAATGAAAAGCAGTACTCAATTTAGACATTTAGAGGTGTAGTTTCTTAGGGGTGTACTCACTTTTTAGGGGTGTAGTTTGTTAGGGATGTACTCACTTTTGTTGCCAGGGATTTAGCTTTTAATGGCTATATTTTGAGTTATTTTGAGAGGAAAAGAATTTATCTTTGTTATATATGCTGTAGACAGACTACTTTTCATTGTGTCAAAAGCTAATTTTTTTAGTGCTGTCCCATGAAGAGATATACTTAAATATTTGAAGAAATGTGAGGGGTGTACTCACTTTTTTGATACTGTATATATATATATATATATATATATATATATATATATATATATATATATATATATATATATATATACCATGAGTAAATTGTCGCTATTTTTATATTTTTTAATTTCGGGCCTGTATTGTTTTTGATTTTGCCGAATGCAGAAGCGAGTAGGGTCAGTTGGACACCACCTGTGAGAAAAAGTGCACCGTGGTGCACCAGAAATTTGGAAACGCCATTCTGTACTGCTCCAATACGAACATTTCAGAGGCTTTGGGTGTCAATCTCAGTCCAGTGCAGCTGATTCGGAAAGAGTTGGATGAGTCTAATGGTGATTACAAAGGTGTCTGAAGTGATCGCTAATGATGGCGTTGTTATACCTCTATTCATCTTCGCAAACGGCCTCAGACTCAACACAGAAGTCTACATCAAGTGCCTCGAGGTGGTATCGCTGCCCTGGGTCAAAAGGGTGGCTTCTGGAAGACCCTATGTCTTGAAATATGATTCTGCACCATGCCACAAAAGTAGAAGAAACCAGCCAGTCTGTCAAACAATTTCTGTGACCACATCATCCCTTACATCTGGCCATCTCTCTCTCTCCAGAACACCCTTGATTATTATGTGTAAGGCGCACTTAAGCGAGAGATTAACAAAATTTCTTGTAACATCAAAGATGAACTGAAGTCAAGGATTATGGCAATATCCATTAACTTAATAAAAGAGACCGTCTAGAAAATTTGCAGTAGATTCCGAAGTCATCTGGAGTCGTGGTTGAAGCTAAAGGCGATTTTACTGAATAAATTTACTCGTCTAGTGTCTTATCAAGTGACAGTTTTGATTACATTTTATTTTACAATCAACACCATCACTTGACAACACACCAGAAATTGTGTACTTGAAGAAATCTGCCACATCTGCCACTGATTATCTGCTCTGGTGATTAAAAAAGGGTTTATTTAATATGCTATATCTAAGCAGGGTCACATACAGTTGTCTTTTTACTAGCTGTTAAAAGTATTGTTGATGACGTTTTTTTTTTTTTTTTTTTTTGTAGAGGCAAGTAAAAACTTATATAATACAGTTTTAAGCTTGACCAACCATAATTTCAGACTTCTTTCTTTTTGTAGTGATGTTATAACGTACTTATGTTATAATATTTTATATATATATAATATATATATATATATATATATATATATATATATATATATATATATATATAAAAGAAAGAAACAGTAAGATATATAATCCGGTGTTCTTATAGATATTTTTATTTTTACAAAATAGTGCTCAATGTAAATTTACAGAGCATTAATATTATAAATTAATTGATTTAAAATACGTTTTTTTCGCTACACAGTTCTAACCATGTTTCAAAAATGGAAGCTAAAAGCTTCGAATTTAATTTTTTATTTAAATTAAAGACATTAGTCTTATTTCATCCTCAAGTGAATTTTGGAGTAACTTATTTATTACTGTTTTTTTTTAAAGGCACAGCAAAAAATCGTAATTCACGTTTCCAAGGATACAGAGAAATCCATTCATCTAGACAAGGTGTGTTTGCGAGTTCATTTTGGCTGTATTTTATTATATCAGTTATATATATATATATATATATATATATATATATATATAGGTATGTACACACACATTTTATTTATTCTTTGTTTATATATTTTATATATATATATATATATATATATATATTTGCAGGTGTTAAATTTGCGTCTAACTTTGGGAATTTTGATTTATTCTTTGTTTGATTTGTACAAGGCATCTGTACGAAAAAAATACATTTAATAATCTATACATGTAAACGCATATATGTATAACGATATTAAATGTATGTGCAGAAAATGAAATGATATGTACATATAAATTACTTCAGACATTTATGATCGTAAGCAACCATAGGTTGCCGTTGCTAGAGAGATGATCTGACATAGGATTGAGGGGGTGTTATATGCAGGCTAGATTCTCATTATAATGAAGCGATGTTTCAGCTTACCTCTCAAAACGGATCTTTGATAGAAAAAAAGCCTATCTATCTATCTATCTATCTATCTATCTATCTATCTATCTATCTATCTATCTATCTATCTCATTCTGTTCGTAGCAATCTATCTATTTATCTATCTTATTCATCTATCGATCTCTTTCTGTTCATATCTATCTATCTATCTATCTATCTATCTATCTCATTCTGTTCGTATCTATCTATCTATCTATCTATCTATCTATCTCAGTCTGTTCATATCTATCTCATTCTGTTCGTATCTATCTATCTATCTATCTATCTATCTATCTATCTATCTCAGTCTGTTCATATCTATCTCATTCTGTTAGTATCTATCTATCTATCTCATTTTGTTCGTATCTATGTCATTCTGTTCGTATCTATCTATCTATCTATGTATCTATCTCAGTCTGTTCATATCTATCTCAGTCTTTTCTTATCTATCTATCTATCTATCTATCTCTATTTTTCGTATCTATCTCATTTTGTTCGCATCTATCTCATTCTGTTCGTATCTATCTATCTATCTATCTATCTATCTATCTATCTATCTCACTCTGTTCATATCTTTCTCACTCTGTTCATATCTATCTATGTATGCTTGTACCTTTTGATCTATGTCTTATTCAAGATTATCTTTGCCCTCTCTAACCTTCTAATTTCTGTTCTGGAGTAAGAAGGTGCCTCGTACGATATCATTTTCAAGTTTTTTTCACTATACTTTAGATTGTCATCACACGAGCCAAATATCTTATGGATTGAGTTGGACTTTTCTAATTGATCCCTTTATCTCTAAATTGTAATGATGGTCCATCTTGCTATTATGACCTCCTCATCCAGTTTTCTTCTCTTCTCTTCCTTTATTTAAACATACACCGTTCTCTTGTGCTTGAATAGACTTTGAAGGTGGAAGCCAGAGTATTATTTAAGGCCTCAATGATATTTTCCTCTCACCATTACTCAGTTTGGAAAACAATGGAGTTGACACAAAACAATTTTAACTTGTTTTTCTAGCCGAATAATTAAAAGGATTTTCAGTGCTTCTTTCTCTCTCTCTATCTCTTTCACACACACACACACACACGTATATATATATATACATATACATATATACATACATACATATATATATATATATATATATATATATGGGCAGCAGACATTCTTTTATGCGTGTTTCGTTGAACATGACAGAATTAAAATTATATCTTGCGTGTAACAGCACAATTGTCCAAATTGTCTCACAGCATAAAATATTGTCACCATACCATAAAATATCTAAGAAAAAAAATAAACTGAATTTCTTTTTTCCAGGTTTTCATATAAGACGTTTAGCCAACATGACACCATTTGTCGTATGAATCACTGAAAAACCATTTGAGTTATCCAGTTAGAAAGAGACTAGGTTAAAATCGTTTTGTGTCAGCCCAACGATGTCTTCCCAACTGTGCAAGGGTGAGAAGAAAATGATAATTCAGTCTTTCAGCAATGATATCAAGATTGATAGTCTGGCTTTAATCTTTCGCTGGGCTTGGAATAAACACTACTATCATACAATATACATCAGACAATTACATCTCCAAAGACCCTGAAAGGAAATTAACAAGCCCTTGATAATAAGTAAAGAAATGGACGAAAGCGCTTAGGAAAATAAACACTACAGACAATTTTTACACTCCCTTCATCAAACGGAAAAAAAATAATAATGCTAGAAAAACTCGATAAAATAAATCCTCAAATTTAACATTTTTCTCGTCTGTCAAATTCAATGAAACATCTTTGAATGGAAGGTTTCTACTCAAATATATATATATATATATATATATATATATATATATATATATATATATATATATATATATATATATGTAAGCAAATATATGAATATACATCCGACGGTATGAAGAAAAATATACGGAACAAACAAACAAAAATCCTAATATGCAATTATGCTGTTTTAATGTTAATATAATGTCAACGTCAGACGTTTCGGTCTAGTAGACCATCTTCAGGACATATTCATAAAACATAATTAACATTAGACTATATTTAATTCAACATGAAAAGACGATGGACATTTTTCAAGATCAGCATTCCGATCAATATGATGACGTCGGCGTCACATGGGCGATGTTGCGAAAACGTACCTGGCTTCTTTAATATTTCCTCTTTTCTAGCAAGATTAATGCTCGACAAACGTACATATAAGTTTTAGATGAAAATAAAATTCTTTTCATTTTTCATTCAAAATACTATATTTTAGGAATTCGTTACACTCTCACTCTGGCCAGTAGAAAATGGCCGCAAACTACATGAAAAACTGCCGTAGAAGCATGATAAAAACGATCATTTCCACTATCGATGGAAGTTGCGAAATGCAACGTCGGTCTTGGCATTCCTGCTAACTTGGAGCATGTGCATGTAAATTTTGATGCAAATCCGTCGAAAATTGTGGCCGTGCATTCGTTACACACACACCCGTTTAGAGAAAATCTTGATTGCTTTCTATTCTTGAATCTCGGCACTTCTTTATATAGGTAAGAAACTAATATCTCCTCAAACATTTCTCAGAATCAGAGTACCGAGTTCGAATTCTAGTCGTATCCATCATATTCACTTCCGTGCTATTACCCTTGGGAAAGGTATGAATCCTCTTCTTCTCCCCCAGCTATGGGAAAATAGCTGGACAGACTGGGTTCTATAGCCTTGGATGGAAACTGGTCTACCGCAGAAAGAAATTTCCACCTACTGCGGAAAAAATCTGCCGGGTCAGTCATGTATCTTTCGATACATGATCGCCTACGCGTGTATCACGCATGGCCGTTAACTGACTGATAATATACTTCTATAATACGCAGTCATCACACATGCATACTGACTCGCATATGTGCAATTGGAAATTCGTCTGCAGCAGTGCTGGTCAAACTCTCTGCCTCCGGGCAAAGTAATTCCCCAGACGAGGCTATGTCAAAGGGCAGAGTCTCGTCTTGGGAAACAGCTACCCGCTCTGTTTTATACCCGTCTACGGGGAATTTTTGGCCGATACTACAAGCTCGAATACTCCACATTAAATTTGGTTTTCTGAAACACTGACCGCGTGGGCCGGTTTGTTGATATCATACAGATGGGACGATTTAAATTAAAATAATGCGAATATTTTTCGGGTGTGTTTGTTGCCGTAACAAGGTAAATATGTCAGGATATAGCAAGATTCTTGTTAACTCAATGACTGTTAACATTTTTACTTTTGAATCTTTACACACCAAGCAAGGCGACAATGCCACTAAGATTCAAGGGGGTTGCAGGAAGAGTAAGAGAATAACAGCTTGGAGGAAAGTGAGGAAATGACAATAAAAGAACAGGGCTCAGGAAGACAGAGGATGTCGATTGAGATTGCGTTTCAATTTTTGAAGATTTTTGTTTTAAGCGTTTCACCCCAAGCAAGGCGGGAAGCCACTAGAACGCAAAGAGGTTACAGAAGATTTGGTGCAAGATCAGATAGGAGTGACAGAGGAAAGAATGAGGAGAAGGATAGTGGATAGAGCAAGGCAATTGGAGATGTCGATTGACATTACATTTGAATAGTTGGAGATTATAGCTCTCAGGGAAACTGGAATAGGGAAGGGAGTTCCACAGGCGAGAGGTGCGAGACATGAAGCTACTGGAGTAGAAGAGACGGCTACATTTAATAGTTTCGACAGTGAAAGGGTGAGAGTGTGATGCCAGCCTCGTAGGGCGCTTGAATTCATGAATTCTGGGAACCAGCGAATGCAGCTCCTCAGAGCAATTACAATGAAAGTATTTGTAAAAAAGATAGAGAGAGGCGACAGCGCGTCTGTGAGAGAGCGACTGTAGACGAGATGCCATAACAGGGCCAGTTATATTGCATACCCGCCTCTGGATCTTATCAAGAACTCCGAGGCAAACAGAAGGGGCTCCAGACCATATATGGCAGCAATACTCCATGCAAGGGAGAATTGTTGATTTGTATATCTGAAGGATCGATTCCGGGGAGAAAAATTTCCTGTTGCGGCACAAGGAGCCAACTTTCCTTGCGGTGGACGAAGCAATTGACTCAGTTTTATGTGAAGCAAGGGAAGCAAGGAATTAGATGAAAAGTGAGTGAAAAGAAACTATTAAAATCGAAGTGGCGGTTGCATCTAGCTAGATCAACATTAAAATGGCGAAACCTAATTGCTAATCAAGTAACGCGCTTAAAGCCATTTAAACTAAGGAAAAAAGTTTCATCAAACACTTGCGATGAAAATATTTACAAAAAACACAGAGGAAAGTCACATCACATCAGCGAGAAAGTGACTGAAGTTGAGATATCGGAACAAGGTCGATTGCATTACAGGTCCTTCTGTGATATTTGTTAACCATCTCGAGATATACAGCGGGAGTTCAAGCTCAGATATCGCAGTATTTGTTAATGCTCTAACCTGAAGAATAAATTTATTTCACTTAGTATTTCACGTGATAAGGTTTTCAGTCACTTACCAAATTTCTTTTAATCATTTTACTCCAAGCAAGGCAAGAAAGTCACTAAGATGCAGTGTGAGTTACTGAAAAGAAAAAAAAAGCATTATTAAAGAACATGAACAACAAAAGAAGAAGAACTAAGAAAACCTAACGCTTGACATTTAATTTAAATTTATGGAACTCAAACTTGAAAGTAAAACAAGAATCTGGAAGAGTTTCCACTCACGAGAAATGAAGAAAATGTTAGCATCGAACTTACGGTTACATCTAGCCGTTTCGATTTCAAAATGATGAGACCTTAATGAAAATGTAGTACTCCGCTTAAAATCACAGATTCTAAGTACTATAGAGTGAAGTTAATTAGAACAATTACTATGAATGTATTTATAGAAAAGGCACAAGGAAGCCACGTTAGGGAGGGAGATGCTAGGTTAGGACCAATGAAATTCTTATTTGGATTTTATTTAAGGATCTTGATATATACAGCAGACGTAGAAGACTAGGTATGGCGGCAATATTCTAAGCATGAACAAGTGTCTGACTTGTAAATATGTAAGCCAGATTCGGCCGAGAAAACGTGTCTAGCCCGACACAGAAACAACTTTTCTAGATGACTTGATGTTAACAAGAAAATTCAATTTTGATGATTGCAACTTAAAATTAAACTTTTATTGATTTTAACAGAATGTATTTTTTTTTTTTTAGTTTTAAATGACATGTTAACATTTTTAAAATTTTGTCAGTGAATGTAATTTTTCTTGATTTTACAGAAATTAACATTTTGGATTTTATCAATGAAGGTAACTTTTTTTTTTCTTTTTCCAGGGAATATAACTTTTCTTTATATCAATTTCTCTTGTCTCTATCTTCGAATTTAACTGTGAAAAATATTGCCAGAGAAAGCATTTTTTATTTTACTAGATGACGTAGCTTTTCTTGATTCTAACATATAATGTATCATTTCTTGATTTTAAATGAGAATTTAGCACATTTTACAAGAGAAGGTACTTTTTATTTTACCAGATAAGGTATCTTTTAATTTTACCAGTTACTTTAACTTTTCTTGATTTTACCAGAGAAGATAATATTTTTTAACTTTATCAGAGAAGTTAACATTTTGTATTTTACCAGGGCCATGTATCTTAATGTTAAAATTTCTTGATTCTATTTTGGATTGTCATTTCAGATTTTTCCAGAGGATGCAGATTTTCTTGATTTTGCGAGAGAACACAGCTTTTGCTGATTCTGATATAGATTGTTTCATTTCTTGAGATTTAAAATGGCAGCCTTTTGATTCAAACAGAATGATAGATTTCTTGATTTTAACATGGGATGTAAAGTTATTTGATTTTAAACAGAAGTTAATATTTTTAATTTTAAAGAGAAATTAACTTTAGTTGACTCTTACATAAAAATGGAACTTTATTTTATTTTAAAAGAGAAATTATTGTTTTTTTTTAATTTTACCAGAGAAGGTTACTATTTTGATTTTAACATACAATCAAACGTTCCTTAATTTTACAAGATAAATTGTTTTTTTTTTTTTTTACTATTTTTTTCATAGAAAACGTTTCTTAATTTTACAAGATAAATTGTTTTTTTAATTTTAGGGAACTATTTTAACATAGAATCGAACGTTTCTTAATTTTACAAGATAAAAATTTCACCAGAGTAGGGAACTTTTTTTTTATTTTTAACATACCAAACGTTAGGGAACCTATTTTTATTTTAACATAGAATCGAACGTTTCTTAATTTTCTTAAATTTTACAAGATATTTTAACATAGAATTTTTTTTTAATTTCACAAGATAAATTGTTTTTTTAATTTCACCAGGGAAACTATTTTTATTTTAACATAGAATCGAACGTTTCTTAATTTTACAAGATAAATTGTTTTTTTTTTAATTTCACCAGAGTAGGGAACTATTTTTATTTTAACATACAATCAAACGTTCCTTAATTTTACAAGATAAATTGTTGTTTTTTTTTTAATTTCACCAGAGTATGTAACTATTTTGATTTTAACATAGAATCGAACGTTTCTTAATTTTACAAGATAAATTGTTTTTTTTAATTTCACCAGAGAAGGTAACTATTTTGATTTTAACATAGAATCGAAGGTTTCTTAATTTTACAAGATAAATTGTTTTATTTTTTTCAGAGAAAGTAACTATGTATTTTACATTTTGCTAGGAAATGTAACGTTTCTTGCTTTTACCAGGAAATTTACTTTTCATATTTTTACCATTACATTTAAATCTGCTGGAAATGTAACTTTTCTTACCTTTACTGGAGAGAATACGTTTTCCTTAATTAACAGAGAAAGATCTAATTCATAATTTCACAGAGAATCTATACTTTATTCATTTTGCAATAGAAGATAATTTTCTTAATTCTCACCAAGCGAGCGGAATTTTCTTGATTTTATCAGTGAACGGAAATTTGCATTATTTTACCATTGAAGGTAATTTTCATGATATTTACCTGAGAATGCAGATGTTTAATTTGATTTTGTCTGAGAAAAAAACAAAATTTCTTCATATGGAAGGTAACCATTATTAATTTTTCCGAAGAAAATAAATTTTACAAAAGAAAATATTTTTTTCATAATTTTTTTAACAGTGATTACTTTTCTTTTTTTTTACTAAAAATCTAAAATATCTTGCTTTTACCAAAATATATAACGGTCCTTGATTTTTTTGAGAGAATATAACTTTTCTTGATTTTAGAGATTTTTATTTTTTATTTTATCAGAGAATGTTAATTTTCTTGTTTTTTTGAGAAATTGTTTACTTTTCTTGATTCTACAAGAGAGTATAAATTTTGTGATTTGATTTGTTTAACATCATATCAACTACTTATTGTTCATTTAATACCATTGTAACTTTTCGCAATTTTGCTAGAGATTATTACTTTTCTACCAGAAAATGTAACTTTTCTTGATTTTTACTAGAGATTGTTGCTCTTCTTGAGCATTCTTCAGTGAATGTAAATTTCCCCAATTTTACTTCAGATTGCTATTTTTCATGATTTTACCAGAGAATATAACTTTTCTTGATTTTACTAAACATTGTTACTTTTAGGGTTTTGCCAGAGAATGTAAATCTTCCCAATTTTACTTCAGATTGTTATTTTTCATGATTTTACGAGAGAATATATTTTTCTTAATTTTACTAAACATTGTTATTTTTCATGATTTTACCAGAGAATATAAATTTTCTTAATTTTACTAAACATTGTTATTTTTCTTGATTTTACCAGGAAATATAAATTTCCCCAATTTTGCTACAGATTGTTATTCTTGATTTTTCTAGAGTTTGTGACTTTTATTGATTTTAACAGATTATAGCTTTTCTTTATTTTCCTAGAAATTGTTAGTTTCCTTGATTTTACCAGAGATGAAAACTTTCTCGATTTTACTACATGATTGATTGTTTTCAAGAGTTTACCAGAGAATGTAAATCCGCAGAATTTACTTTTAACTTTTGACTTTTCTTAATTTTACTAGAAATTTTTATTTTTATTTGTTTTAATATATTTTTTATTTTATTATGTTTATTGTATTAAATCTTGACTTTCCTTGAGTTTGTTAATTTTATCAGGGAATGCAACTTTTCTTAATTTTGTTACAGATTGATACTTTTCTTGATAATATCACTGTCATGGGTCCTTACCTATAACTACAGAATGAACTCTTCCTAACACTATGTATACTACGCCTCTCAAGAGAGAGGGTCAAATCGAGTCGAGCCGATAGTAGTTCACTCCAAACCAGACTGACAGTCATACTAACAACTTCAACATCTTGTATTATTATTTCATGTAATATACCTTCGTTATTTCTACTCTTGTGTTCATGTTGTTCTTCCTTGGTCCTAAACTGGACCATAACACAGAAGAAGAAGAAGAAGAAGAAGAAGAAGAAGAAGAAGAAGAAGAAGAAGAAGAAGGGAACAAGAAATAGAAGAAGAAAAAGAAAAAGAAGGAAGAGAAGAAGAAAGAAGAAAGAAAAGAAGAAAAAGAAGAAAAAGAAGTAAAATAGAAGTAAGAGAAGAAGAAAAAGAAGAAAATATAGAAGAAAAAGAAGAGAAGAAGAAATAGAAGAATAAGAAAAAGAAGAAAGAGAAAATGAAGAAAGAGAAGAAGAAATAGAAGAAGAAAAAGAAAAAGAAGAAAGAGAAGAAGAAATAGAAGAAGAAAAAGAAGAAGAAATAGAAGAAGAAAGAGAAGAAGGAGAAGAAGAATGTCATGGGTCCTTACCTATAACTACAGAATGAACTCTTCCTAAAACTATGTATACTACGCCTCTCAAGAGAGAGGGTCAAATCGAGTCAAGCTGATAGTAGTTCACTCCAAACCAGACTGACAGTCATACTAACACCTTCCACATCTTGTATTATTATTTCGTGTAATATACCTTCGTTATTTCTACTCTTGTGTTCGGGTTGTTCTTCCTTGGTCTTAACCTGCACCATAACAATAACCAAATATACTTTTACTTGATTTTAGTAGAGCTTGTTAATTATTTATAACTTTATACAATTTTAGCTTGAACATAATGCAATAATATCTAAAAAGAAAATAAAACAACTTCCAGCGGACATAATTACGTCCAAAAATATCTTCTGATTGCATTAACTGGCACCAGGACGTCTAGGTATGCTTCTAGACGTATTTTCCCTTGGACTGCTTTCCAGAACAAAACGCAGAACGGATCAAGTCGGCATCTTATACGTTAGGGATATTGTTCGAAACAAAACAATGTAAAAAAAAACGTAACAATTCCGTCCGCCCAAACAAATCATATACAAAACAAACAGTAAAGACAAGCGGAGAAGAACATGTAAATATTTCCGACACTCTTATCAATAAACGACGTTTAATATTCAACGGCGAAACCATTATTTAAGATGACGTCTGTCAGAACATTGAAATAATTTGAGGTAAGCTTCTTGCTGGAATCAAAAACCAATTTGATCCCACTTTTATTGACAAAGCGCCTTAAGATCACTCAAACTTTACTGTTTCCTCTGGTGAAATCGACGTTTAAGCGTCTTCAACAGGTTTTCTAAGGGATTTAGGATATGAAACTGATTCGTTTCTCTAAATCCAGTATTTTCTTCAACTGGAAAAAAATTCGATTTCAAGGCACTATGTTGTAAAATACACTTTCTTCGTTGTTTGAAAATGTTCATATGTTTTTCTCCAGTGCTTAGCGTACACAGCCATACGTCACTTCGACAATATCAAGTGCGGTGTCGGTAACAGGAGAAAAAACACACAAAAAAACGCCCAAAATCATGACACTTCAACTATACTGTGTTTAACTGTCGGAACGGTATTTTGCTGGTTGCCTGAAGAGTCCTTGCGTCGCCAGAGTTTTAAAATTCTTTTCACCAAAGAGTTCGGCATAATATTTGATCACGGGATGAATCAATGCCCTCGAAATGATGAGCAAACTGTAGACAAGTGAAAAGCAAGTAATTAAAAATTAATTTCTACTTAATAGATTGATTTACTGTCGAGATTTTTCGTGCTTCACTTTTTCTGTGTGTCTTTCTTCCCGTCCATCTTAGTTTACATGCGTCTTTCTCTCTGCAAGTAAAAAATGATTTCTACTTAGAACTTTCATGTCTTGTTGAGATTTACCATGCCTCTTTATTTCTGTGTGTCTTTCTTTCTCTCATACTTTCCGTGCGTCTTTCTTTCTTTCTTGCGTTTTTCTTTTCAATGCATTCTTCTTTCTTCAATTAAAACATCATTTCTATTAGTTTCATTTTCATTCAAGATTGTCGTGCATCATTGTGTCTGTGCGCCTTTCATTCCGTGCGTCTTTCTTTCCGTGCGTCTTTCTTTCCGTGCGTCTTTTTTTCCCGTGCGTCTTCCATTCAGGAAGCGTGTCTTTCTGATCAGTGATTCTCCTTTCTGCAATTAAAAAATAATTTTTTACTAAGTATTTGGCGTCCATATCTGTTTCTATTCATCTTTCTTTCTCTGATTCTTTCTGTGCGTCTTTCTTTCCTATGCGTCTTTCTTTTCTGAACGGCTTTCTTTACTGTGCGTCTTTCTTTTCAGAACGGCTTTCTTTTCTCTGCGTCTTTCTTTTCTGAACGGATTTCTTTTTTATGCGTCTTTCTTTTTTGAACGACCATCTTTTCTGAACGGCTTTCTTTTTTACGCGTCTTTCTTTTCTGAACGACTTTGTTTTCAGTGCGTCTTTCTCATCTGAACGGCATTCTTTT